AACACGCAACACGCAGCGTATTGATACGGAGCTCAACGCGTAGACCAAACACGCAGGTCTGTCGCGATACGTTCGCAGAACGCGGGCCAATACGCTGAGCCAGCACGCAACGTATCGACACGGACGTTTCTAGCACGGAACGTGTTGCGTCTCAAAACGGGCGCGCCAGGGCAGCCAAACCATGGAGACTGGATGGCCCAGGCCACGACATCCCCCCCTCCTCGGTCCTCGACCCCCTCCCCGGCGCACCCGACGAAAGCACCGCCAGCACAAGGGGGAGGGACGAGCTGGGAGAGGGGTTGGGACGGTGCCGCCAGGCCGCGCGACGGTGAGCGGGGGGGTGGCCCCCAGCTCCAGTCGGACCAAGGCCAGAAGAACATCCTCAAGAACGACGACGACGACGCCGCCGCCGACGACGACCTCGCTGCGAGACGGTGAGTGGGCGGGGTGGTCCCCTGGCTACAATCTGACCTAGACCCTCCGCCGGCCAAGACACACAGAACATCCAAGGGTGCCCTCCCCAGGATGCACGAAAGCATCCAACAAGCACGAAGAACACTAAGGTTCGGGGAGGCGCAAGACTCGGGTTCGGGGGACTCGGGTTGGCCTGACGAGGCCATCATGACAATGACGAGACCCAAAAAGAAATTTGACGCGAACTCCCGCTGCAGGCATCCCACGAACACTGAACCGTCAAAATCCAGGACGCCCTCGTCAAGAAGCGTAGGCCAACCCGGACACAGGCCTCAAAAGCGTGCAAGACAACCGTAAACCCGGACACAAACCCGAATCCTGCAGTGCAGCAGACAAAACATGCACGGGTGCTGAAAAACGTGACCTTGCAGGAAAGGATGTCGTTTCCATGGTTTTCCGTGTCCTGGTCTATCTTTGTCCTGGTCTCCGGGGGCCTGATCCTCGGTCCGCCTGTAACAGATGATCGATCAGGTCCGTTCGGTTCCGTCGCCGTTCTGTTACGGGTTCCCGCTCCGGTTCCAATCCTGGAGCCGTGTTTGTTGCCGTTTCGGGTCGCCGTTTTTTTGCCGTTTCCACTTTCAAGGGGCACGCTTTCGGAAACGGTGAAACAACGGCCCTGCCGCTTCCGGGGCCCACGAAGACCTCGACCTCATACTCGGCAGGACCATAAGGGGTACTAAAACCGTAGGGGTACCAAAACCGGGTGGGGTGGGGCGACAAAACACACATGTTTATCAGAGCGCAAATGATAACTTTGACCTGATCCAATGTGGCCCCCTCGCGCGCCCATGTCTACATCCGTCTCGCCCGTGTGCGTGCGCATTGGCTTCTCACTTTGACCGAGGTATGATACCTCGGCCCGCCTGTGACGCATGATCGATCAGGTCCCGCCCGCTGCCTCCAGTCGGGGCCCTCGCCTCTAGCGTGCCGCGGCGGCCGCCTCGGCGACGCGCTGCGCCCGGCGCGCGGCTGGCGTGTCGCTCCGCTCCGCGGGGCGGGAGGCTCCTCCTCCTCCGCCTCCTCCTCCTCCTCCTCCTCCTCCTCCGCCTCCTCCTCCTCCTCCCCCTCCTCCTCCTCCTTCCTCCCCCTCTACCCTCTCCTCCAACTCCTGCCCCTGTCCCTCCCCCATTGCCCTTCCCTGTCCCGTCCACCTCCCTCCTCGTCCCGCCCTTTCCCTCCTGGGAAGCCTACTATGGCTTCCCCGCTGGCCCGGAGAGGCTCGGGGCGTCGACGCCTGGAGACCAGGGACGTGGGCCGCGTGTCGCGCCGCAGCGTGGCGGGGCGACACACTGAGCCAAGAGTCCGGACTGGTATACTCGGGGAGGCCACAGGGCACCCACGTCACCGCTCCTCCGGGGCTGCAGGGGCCTCTCCCCCGGGGTGCGCTTTGACCCAACGGTCGAAGCAAGTCCAGCGGCGGCGACGAGGGCCTCCCAGGAGGGCCTGCAGCGCGCCGAGAAGAGCTCCCCCCCCCCCGGGGGGCCGCCGAGGCCGCGGCGCGCTCGGCCCGTCCGCGAGCGGAGAGCGCCGCGCGCTCCGGGCGGCGGGCTGGGCCCCCCGACAGCGATGCCAAGAGCGGCCCCAGAGCGCCCCAAGAGGGCCCCAAGAGGCGATTTTGATGATCCCGGGGGGGGGAAGCGACTTTAGGACCCCCCCCTTCGGATCGATGGTCTCCACGAGGGCCCCAGGTGGCCCTCCAGGGGCTCCCAAGGGACCCCCTTTTTCTTCCCAAGGTAGCTCGATGCGTCTCAAGTTCTGTGCGTGTGAAGCTATTCTAGCTGCATCTTGCGGCGCTCTTCACCGCCCCGGCAGCCAAGAGCCTGGCATGCCCCAGCCCGAGAGGGCTCCAAGAATGCCCCAGGACACCCGAAGAGAGCCCCGGGAGGGGGCCAGCATCCGCACGGATCCGCCTACTTCCTCCTCCCTCGCCCCTCCTCTGGCTCGCTCCCCTCCCTCCTGGAGGAGCGGGGAGGGGCGAGGCGGAACTGCGTGCCAGTGCCCTCATCCGAGGAGGGGCGGGGCGAGCCCGCAGCGGCACGTGCGCCACTGGTCGGGCGCCCCGCCCCAGGGAGCGAGGGCGCCCTGGGGGGGAGGGCTGCAGGAAGGTTCGCGGGTCTCGGCAACGCGCACACAGGGGGAGGCTTCTCAAACGGGGACGCCCGAAATGGGTACGGAAGAACCGGTTAAGATGCCCAACAACAACTGTTGTCCCAAACCGACAGCGGCCGCTGTTGGGCAGGCGGCTCGCTGTCTTCAAAGGACAGCGTCCGCGGCGGCGCGAACAGCGAGTCCTGTTCAAAATGAGCAGGAACTGCTGTGGGGCATCGTGCCCATTCTTTCTGTACCCATGTCGATCGTCCTGATCAGAAGGGGGCTGGTTCTCAGAAGGCGCAGGCCCTAGATCATGCCCGCGCCTTCTGAGAAACGCGGGTGCTGCCAAGAGGCCCTCACCCCTCCACCCATCCCCCATCTGCGGGTGGCTCAGCGGCGGCGCCCCGGGGGGGGTGGGCTGTAGGAAGGGTCGAGGGTATGGGGAGCACATGGCACCGACGGCGCTACTCCCCGGACCTCTCTCGGGGTGCGTTCTGACCAGGATTTCGAGGCGAGTGCAGCGGTGGCGACGAGGGCCTCCTGGAAGCCCAGAAAAAGGGGAGACGAGGGGAGGGCAGCGGCATGGGTACCGTTTCCTCCTCTGAGGTTCGAGGGCACGAGTGCAGGAGGAGGAGGAGAAGGAGGAGGAGGAGGCGGAGGGGGACGAGGAGGAGGAGGAGGAGGAGGAGGAGGAGGAGGAGGAGGAGGGGGAGGAGGAGGAAGGGCTCGAGATTTCGAGGGCCCACAGCCGCCGGGGGTGGAGGAGCGTGTACCCGCCCAGGCCCCCGACGCCACCATGACTTTTTGACGGCGTGCAGTCGGCCTTGATTGGACGGGACGCGCGAGAGGACACAAAGACCCTCATTGGTTTTGCCATCTTGGTTTTCTCTTAGGGTACTTTCTGGGCTCTCCCTGGGCCTCTTGGGATCCTTCTCGGGGCTTCTCGGGCGCCACTTGGGGCTTCTTGGGGACCTCGCTTGGTGGAAGGCTCAATGTGTACAGCGTGTACAGTCGGCCTTGATTGCACAGGACACGCGAGGGGGCACAAGACCCTCCCGAGGGCCGCATCGCCGTAGGAGTGTAAGAAGGCACGTGTCGCGAGGCACAGGACACCAGGGTGCCCTTGAGCTGGCAGGGTCGACCTGCTAATCCGGGCCGACTGTAGGCTCTCGGGTGTCTCGGGCGGGTGGCACTACTGGGGGGGCGACTTCAACTCGGCGGCGACCCTGTGGGGAAGTGAGGAGGGGCGGGCCTTCTCAGAATGCTCGGAGGTCCCCGGGCCTTCTCGAAGTTTTCGGAACCTTCCCCGAAGACGCTGGAAACCTGAGAGGCCCCGCCGCCTTCTGAGAAGGCCTTCTCCTTCTCAGTTCCCCCTCCCGCTCGCCGCCGATAAATGGGGGGTGCAGAAGAGGGCCCTCAATGGGCCTCTAGGGCCCCCTCTGGGCCCGCGCTGGCTCCAGAAGTGGCCCCAAAGGGCCCCTTCATGGTCCTTCTCTTGAGGTCACTCCCCAGTCGGGTCCCCTGAGATCTTAACTTTGCAATCTTTTTATTGCGACGGGCGTTTTCGCTCAATGTCGGGCTCCGGGGCACGCACAGATCGATCAGGCTCGAAAGCCGACGCACAAAGATGGGGTCCGGGACGCTGGTCGTGATTTTTTCCCCTGCTGCAGTTGATTTAAAACGTCGGAACCCGTGACCTGGGTCGGGCGTTGGCAGAACTGCATGGGTTTAGTGGGACCCGGTTTAGTAATGTGTACTGGGGGTCGCCCCCCCCGGCCCCATCCACTAACCGGAACTGCAGTCACCCGACAAAAGCACCGGCTGCGACAGACCTGGTTTAAAGAGTCTGGCCAATTCAAGGGCTCCAGGGCCCTACCACTAACCGGGTCCCCTTCCCTGGGGCCCTGTCTTTTCCCGATGCTGCTGCTCCTCCTCCTCCTCCTCCTCCTCCTCCTCCTCGTCCTCCTCCTCCTCCTCCTCCTCCTCCTCCTCCTCCTCCTCCAACTCCTCCTCCTCCTCCCTCCTCCCGACCGGGGACCGGCATCTCCTCCCGAGTCGTGTTCTCTACGACGGCCCCGGGGCTCGGCGCAAGGGCCCCGAGAGGCCGGCCATCGCCCAGGACCTGCCGCGCCGCGGTGCTTCCAGGACCCGCGGGGGGTTCCGTATGGGAGGGGGCAGCGGGGCTGCCCCCTCCCAGGCCCTTTTGAGCAGAGCATGATCTGGCCATCGCTCGGACTGCCATTCCCTGTGCTTTTGTTCGCTTTCGCGCGTGGCTATTTCGCAACATGATCAAGGATGCTCCTCGATGGTCCTCGCCTAAGGAAAAATGCACACGTCCGAGCGATGCCAAGAGATATGGGAGGGGCAGAAGGGCACGGCCCCCGGCGGTGAGGCCGCCGGGGGGGGGAAGGTGGGGCGGCGGCAGCGAGGCGCGCCTGCAGTAGCCCTCCGCGTCCAGCGCGGGCAACTCGCGCCTGGCCTCCCGGGCCAGGCTGGCGGCGCAGGTCCCCGCGTCGCGCCTGGAGGACGGGGTCTGGGCGCTGCGCGGGGCTCTTTCCGTCAAACAGCTGGCCGCCTCGTTGTCAAGAGCTGTGAATCAATACCGCGGAAATGAGCGCTCACGCGTCGGATTTCCTCCTCCTCCTCCTCCTCCTCCTCCTCGTTTGCCGGGTGCCTTGGACCCCTGCTCCTCCCATACATCCGGTCGCTCCAATTGTTTCCGTGCATGGGCCCTGGAGGTCTGGACCACTTCCCGTTTTTCGTCCTGAATCGATGTTTGACGTCCTGAGGCCTGGCAAGGGCCCCTGGGAGACTGAGAAAAAACGAAAACTATCCCATCGTGATTTTTGTCTCAACGCGGGGGGACCCCTGTTCCCTCCTCCTCCTCCTCCTCCTCCTCCTCCTCCTCCTCCTCCCGCGCAGCCCGGCAGCGGCCTGCAGACCCTCGACACGATCAGCAGGAGCATGAAGAGGCCCGCGTAGAACGGGAGCGCGCACGCCTCCCAGGGGGAGGCGGCGCCGAGCGCACACCAGCGCCAGGCCCGGCCGGGCCATCCTGGGCCACGGACGCCGGTGGTCCCAGACCCCCTCTCGCGAGGTGGAAACATCAGGAGAAGAAGTTTGTGCCTTCTCGGCCTCCAGGGGCCTTTCCCGGGCCTCGAGACCGTCAACAAACGACTCAGGATGAAAAACTGGTCCTTGGGGAATGGGTCGACGAGACCTCTGGGGGCCGACGCCATGACAAAATCACGACGTCGGGGGTCTGGGAGCGGTGGGAACAACATTTACCGACAGTGTCTGTATATACCTATATATCTATCTATATATCTACATACATACATACGCATCTATATCTATATCTATATCTATATCTATATATATATATATATATATATATATATATATATATAGAAATATATATATATATATATGAGAGAGAGAGAGAGAGAGAGAGAGCGTGATCCACCGCCGCTTACTGTGGAAAATTCCCCCCCCTTCTCCTCCGGAACCCGAGGGTCCCCCCCCCCCTCCGAAAATCCCCCCCCCTGCTGCCCCCCCCCCGGAACCCCTCCCCCCCCCACTCCCCCTCGAAAACCAGGGGGGGTCACTACCGGTTCCCCCCCCTTCCACCGTCCCTACTGTCCCCACCAGTGCCCCCACCTCTGTCGCACTGTCCCCAACTGTCCCCACCACTGTTCCCACCACGCTTCCACTCTCCCCACTTTCTCCACGGCCCCAACCACTGCCCGACTATCCCCACTGTCCCCACTGTCCCACTTACTCCTTCGCTGTCCCACTGAGCTGTCCCACTGTTCCCACCACTGTCCCCACTGTCACCACCACTGTCCCCACTGTACCTCTGCCCCATTGTCCCACCGCCGTCCTCGCCACCGCCTTCACCACTGTCCCCACCACCACCCTCCACTGTCCCACTGTTTCCACCACACTCCCACTGTCCCCACACCACTGTCCCCACCACCACCGTCCCAACCACTGTCCCACTGTCCCCACTGTTCCCACCATTGTCCTCACCACTGTCCCCACCACTACCGTCCTCACCACTGTCTCACTTTCCCCACCACTGTCCCGCTGTCCCCTCACCACTGTCCCCACCACCACCGTCCCCACCACTGTCCACACACCCTCCCGGTTTTCGAGGGGGAGGGGGGGTTCGAACCGGTAGTGACCCCCTCGGTTTTCGAGGGTGGGGGTTCGAACCGGTAGTGACCCCTCCCCCCTTTTCATGATGGACCGCGGGGGGAGGGGAGGGGTTCGAACCGGTAATGACCCCCCCCCCGTTTTCTGGAGGGGGGGGGAGGGGTTCGAACCGGTAGTGACCCCCCCGGTTTTCCGCCAGCAGCGGTAGAACACGCTCTTTCATACATATATATATATATATATATATGCATACATAGAAATATTTACATAGACATGCATGCATGCATCTGTGTGTATATATATATGTGTGTATATATAAATTGTGTGTATATATATATATATATATATGTCCGCGGAATGGTTGATCGATTTCGGCCATCGAGGGCTACTTTTTCAGGCCCCAGGGTCATCAGACATGGAGTCAGGGCAAGAGAAATCGTGCCCAGGAGAGGTCGGGACCTCGTGGGGCCGCGGACCGGAAGAAAAATCAGAGCGGCCGATGTCAGGGGAGGAGGGACGAGGACGGGTGGAGGAGGAGCAGGAGGGACAAGATGAGGAGGAAACCGAGGAGAAGGATGAGGAGGGAAAGAACGAGGAGGAGGAGGAGGAGGAGGAGGAGTAACTAAGACGACGACGTGGAGGAGGAGGAGGAGGAGGAGGAGAAGGAGGAGGAGGAGGAGGAGGAGGAAGATGAGGGATGGAGCTGGAGAAGAGGGGGGGAGGGCGAGGAGGAGGGGGGGAAGCAGAGAGGAAGCGGAGGGGAAGGTGCACCAGGGGGATGACAGCAAGGGCTGGGGAAGAGAGCGGGGCAATGGGGTCACCAGGGGGACTAGGCGCAGATGAGTAAGGACGAGGGGGGTGATCAGGGAGAAGAGAGTGAGGCCGTGGGGAGGGAGGGGGGGGGGCGACTTTCTGCCGGCTGCCCGTAAGACCGGCCGTGTGCAAGAGTGACCTGTGGTGCGCGGTTTTCTCTGAGGGACGCGGGGAGGGGGGGGGGGGGGCACGTCCAACCAAACGCGCCAGCCAATGCTCGGGGGCCCCTGTGGGCCGGCACCAGGAGTGCTTCCGGCAAAGGGTCACTCTTTCACGTAGCCGATTCTTGGCCGCTGGCCAGCGCATGACAAACTTCGATGATCCTCAGAACATGGGTTAGCGTCAACATGCTCTTGTTCAGCGAAGCCTTTCAATACTACGCAGGCAACATTTATAAAGGCCAACACAGGCTGCGTGCCATCGGCTGAGCAGAATGGGATAACACACGCATTGGGCTAACGCACGTCCTGAGGATCATCGAAAGCTCTCCAGTCCGCGGTTCAAGGGTCGGGTACACGCAAGAGCGAGCCTAGGCAAGAGTAACCTTTGGTGCGCAGCTTTAGGGGGCCGTGCGGGGGCCAAATCCAGAAACGTACGCCGTTTTGGCATGGGGGAAAGGGGTCCTCAGGGAAACGGGTCCTGGACCCTGGGGCCTTCCCCCAAGACGAAATCTTCATCCCGAGTCGTCTTCTGACAGTCCTGGGGCCTATGGAGGGCCCCGAGGGCCCGAAAACGGCGAAACACCTCAAGAGCCGGTTCCATCAGGACCCGCTTCCCCCATGGAGACCAGTGCTGGGGGGACCCCTCTGTGCCAGCACCAGCGGTTGCTCTGGCGAAGTGTTACTCTTCCCGCAACCCCGACGTCGTGTTTTGTTTGTTCACGACGTCGACCCACAGAGGTCTGGACCCCTTCCTGGGGAGACGTTTTCATCCTGAATCGTCTTTTCACGGTCCCGAGGCCTGGTGAGAGTCATTGCACCGGCCTTGCCGACGTGCTGCAGCGGATTTCTGCGTGGATTTCTGCGTGGATTTTTGCCCGAAGCGGCGAGCGAATAACGAAACTAATTTCGCGTGGATTTGTTTGGTCTTCATTCCTGGACGAACAAACCCGCACGAACTTCACATCGAAATCGCGAACGACATTCTCAAAGACAATCGGGGCCCACCCTATCGTTTTCCAACCGAAATCCGCTCTGCGATGCTGGCGCAGTGATCAGGGCGCCCAGAAACCGAAAATAGCGAAAACCCTTTCGTCCAGATAATTGTTTCTTTACTCGAGGGGTCACCCCCGTAGACCCGGACACGTTAGACCCGGACACCCAACATCCCTCAAAACCAAATTTTCCAAACGGCGGCACGAACAAAATACTGCAATGCAACATCTCCATAATAAACCCGGACGCAGGCCTCAAAAGCCTGCAAAACCCCCCTAAACCCGGACACAAACCCGAATCCTGCAGTGCAGCAAACAAAACATGCACGGGTGCTGAAAAACGTGACCTTGCAGGAAAGGATGTCGTTTCCTTCGGTTTCCGTGACCTGGTTTGTCTGTGTCCTGGTCTCCGGGGGCCTGAGGGTCTGGGTCTGACGCGTGGCCGGAAGGGGGGGGGCCGGCGCGGGCGCGGGCGGCCCTCCCGAGCGCCTGCGCCACGAACGTCGCGGAGGAGCCCATCCACCTCGGACGGGCGCTGCATCCCCGATTTGCTTCGGGGGGGTGGCAGCTGGCCGCCGACACTGGTCCCGACCGAGCGGATATCGGGGCGGGGATCGTTGTGCACCCCCTCACTCGGTAGCAAATCATGGGGGCCCTGTCTGCCCTCGCAATGCCGTCTTCGCGCCGATCAGCGTCCACGAGCGTCTGGGAGCCGATGAGATACGCTGGTTTAGCGTCGGCTGGCGTCGACTACCGTCGATCTAGCGCCGACTAGCGTCGACTTAGCGTCGACAGCGTCGATTCGCAAAAACAGACAAAAAGGTATGGAAGGCCCCCGCGAGTTGCCGCAGAATCTGTATTGCGCGCGCGTACGTACATTGACACATTGCTCAATTTTGTTAGCCAGCGCGAAACCTAAAGGGTGTGTTCTAAAGCAGTCTACTAGTTGTGGGGCAAGTAGTTGTGAAACATTTGGAGTTGACAGCGCAATTGCTCGCGCAAACATCCCACCGACCCACCCGCAAACGAGTGTGCCAAACCCATGCGGTCGCGCAAACCCGCGCACGCTCGCGCGTACAGCGGCCAACTAATTCGTCGCGGCCAACGCGAAAGCGGTGGCGCTGGCCGCTGGGCACTTCACAACGGGCATCAATGCGAGTCGGCGACTAGGGTGGGCGCGGTATCATGGCGACGTCAACGCTAGCAGGCACGTTCGTGATAGTAGCGATGCTGGTGACGATGATGACAGTGACTATTGCAAGGCGAGTGGCGGCGCCAATGCTGATCACGCCGACGACGATGACGGAGTCCTCGCGTCGGTGATGCACGTTTTGGTGGGAGTTTGGCATGCGCGCGCGGCCAACGCGCGCGGGTGGCCCGCATGGTGTTCTTTGACAAGGATCGCGCCTCCCAGGCAGGCGCACAAGGGCGTTCGAATGATTTCGACATGCGGCGCGAAAAACCCATTCGGTCGAATGTAATGAAAATGTGGAACCACCAACGGTTGTCTTAAGAACTCGTATGAGCGCGAGCGCAAGCTTTTATTGGAAAAGTGTTACTGCGAAACCATATGTTTTATTCATGTGTGTTCGAGACGCTCGATGTTGAAATCCTTGCGACACCTTCGGTGTTCGAATGATTCTGGAATGCGCGCGCGACGACGCGCGCGCGCACTTCGCCGCATGCGTTCGCAGAGGATTCGTGCAAGAGCACGCGCGAAAAAGGCGCTCGACCAAACAGGCAGTTGCGAAACGATGTGTTTTCTGCTGTGCTGGGCCCGTCGATGTTGTAAGCCTTGCGAATCCCACGGTTTTGAATCGATCTCGACATGCGCGCGCGACGTCGCGCGCGCGTGCACCTCGCCCCATGCTTTGGAAGTGGTTTTTGATCACTGATGATTGTTGACAAACACATGCAAGCGCATATTTGTGGCAGGGGGTGGGGGCGGTGGTGGGTGGGGGGCGATCAGAGTCTAGAGTTTGCTTGGGACGGTCCGAGCTCATATTTAGGATGGGCGCTGGGGTAGAATCAGATGCGCATTGCAATGCACAGCAGTAGTGCTTTCAGTTTGGGGGGGAGAGAGAGGTAGATCCTGGCGCTTTTTTTAGACTGGGGAAGTCACCCTACCGAACATGAAGTTGCCAGCTCCACTGCTCGCGCGATCACCCCACCCACCCACCCGCCACTTGGTTTGCCAAACCCATTCGGCGGCGATTGCGACGACTGCTCGACGCTGGCTGGCGCGTCGCAGCGATCGCGCTAGCGCGCAGGGTCGCGCGCAGAGCGGCCAACTGGTCTGGCGCGACCGTCGCGGCCGCCGCGGTGGGTCTGCCGCTGGGGACTTCCCTGCACGTCTCGCAGGCCGCGCTGGCCCGCGGGCACTTCCATGCGAGTCGGTGGCCCAGGCGGGCGCGTTATCATGGCGACGCCATCAACGGCCGTCGCGATGCTGATAGTAGCGACGCTGGCGGCGACGACGACAGCGGCGACCCCGAAGGGCAATGACGGCAACGGCGCCCGTCATGCCGACGACGACGAGGGCATCCGCACGTCGGCGATGACGGTTGCACTAAGAATTTCGACGCGCGCGAGCGGCCGACGCGCGCGCGTGGCCGCATAGCATGATTTGGCACGGATTGCGCCCCCCCCCCCCCTCCCGTAGCACGCGCGCAACGGCGTTCGCGTGATTTCGACATGCGCGTTCGGGGCGCCAGTTGGGTCGAATCGAATTGAAATTTGAAGCCGCCCATGGTTCCCCGAAGAATTCGCAAGAGCGCGCGGTCAGAGCTTTTAATGTCAAGTGGTTGCGCAAACCTTGCGAAAACTACCTTTGCCGAGTGATGTCGGCATCGCGCGCGACGGCGCGCGCGACCGCGCACTTCGCCCCATGCGTTGCGAGAGGTTCTTACGACTGCGCGCGCGCATGGGTGCTCGAGCGATTTCGCCGCGCGCGCGAGAGAGGCACGTTTGGCAGCATGTGATTTACATTTTTGCTGAAAAAAACATACAGATGGCGATCCCGAAAACTCGCGGGATCTCGCGCGCAAGCTTTTCAATCGCCGCGTCGCAAGCTCGCGTGCTCATATGTTACGGGGCACTCGGTTTCAAATTCTGGCGGCGCCTTACATGTTCGAAAGATGTCGGCATGCTCGCGCGACGACGCGCGCGCGCATCTCGCTCCATAAACCAGAAGTCTGTTTCAATACTGGGGGTTTTCGGTAGACGAGCGCGCGCTCGTTACACGGGATGGAACGGCGGGGGCGACGAGGGAATGCCTGAGGATGGCACGGATGCAGATTTATGATGCAACTTCCAATGCAGAAGAAGCGGGCCAAGAGGTCCGGGGGACGCTAGATCATGGCATTCGTTTAAAAACCGGATCATCAATGTTGTGTCAGATGTGTGATGCAGCAGGTTTGGTGCAATTCATGTGGTGCACTTCGCCTGGCCGTCGTCGACCCCGCTGCCCGCGCAATCGCCCCACCTGCCCACCCGCAACTTGGTTCGCAAAACCCAGGCGGAAGCGATTGCGATGAGTGCTTGGCATTGTCTGGTGCACCTCTGCGGCCGCGCTAGCCCGCGCGTGCTGGCGCGCGCCGCGACCGGCTAGTTTGGCGCGACCGACGCGAACGCGGCGGCGCTGACCGCTAGGCAGATCCAAGCATCCCCGCGGGCACTTCAATGCGAGTCGGCGGCTTGGGCGGGCGCGGCATCATGGCCGCGTCGACAACGGTAGACGCGACGATGAGAGCAGCGATGCTGGCGGCGACTTTGACGACGACGACGGCGCGGCCAGCGCGGGCGCCGATGCCGATCGCGCCGACGACGATGACGACGCCCTCGCGTCGGCGATGGAAGTTCTGGAAACAAGCTCGACATGCGCGCGAAGCCGACGCTGATCGCGTTCCTCCAGCACGCGAGCGTGAACGCGCGAATGACTTCGGCGCGCGGCGCCAGGACCCGTTTGGCAGAATCCATGGACAAGTTGAAAACCCAATGGATTGCGTATATCAAAAGTTCGCAAGAGCGCGAGCGCTTCTTCTTCATGCTCTGTTCTCTTGGTTTAACAATGATGCGAAACCATTTGTTTTACATGTGATTTGGGCACTCGGGTTTGTAATCGCAGCGAAACCGCAAGGTTGTTTCAGGTTTGCGGCGCGCGCGCAGAGCGGCGCGCGCGCGTGCTCGTCGCCGTATGTCAGTAGAGAAGGATTATCGGGGCGGCGCGCGCGCATGGGCGGTCGAGCAATTCCGACATGCGCGCGCGAGCCCGTTCGGTAGCATGTTCAGGCCACGATGGAAACCCACTCGCCTTTCTGGAAAGTAGCAAGAACGCGCGCGCAAGTTTTTGTCAGAAAGCCCGCGTTGCGAATCCTTGTGCGGTTGATCTGTTGACTGGGCACTCCATGTCGAAATCCTTGCGACGCCGAGACGACGCGCGCGCGTGCGCTTCGTCATTTTGTTTTGCAAGGGGTTCTTGGAAACTGATAAACGAGCGCGCGCATGCCGCTTGTTTCAGGGGGCGGCGGGATGGCGGAGGGGGGGGGGGGGGGGGAGGGCGGATGCAGGCTGGGCTGGGATGGCGCGATTTCATGCGCGGGATGGGCGATGGGGCGGAATCGCATGTAAATTGCAAGGCGGAAAGGGGGGGCGGATAATCATAGGGGGGGGGGGGGTCAAGTATATTCTCATCTTCGGAACGGAGAATTCACGCGGTGCAGCTCACGTGGTGCAAGCTATGAGATGCGGGGTAAGTGGTGCAAACGGCGTGGCGCTAGCTACGGAGCGCAATCTACGTGGTGCACTAGATGCCGCGCAATGCCAATGCGAGCTACGTAGTGCAATCTCTGTGGTTCGACATATGTGGTGCGACAAACGCGGTCCAATCTGCAAGGCGCAACTCACCCCGCCGAGCTGAAATTGCCAGCCCCACTGCCCGCGCAATAACTCCCCCCGCCCACCCGCCACTTGGATTGCAAAACCCCTGCGGCGGCGATTGCGATGACTGCTTTGCGCGAGCTGGCGCAGCGCCGCGGCCGCGCTAGCGCGCGCAGGCTCGCGCGCAGAGCGGACAGCTGGTCCGGCGCGGTAGACGCGGCCGCGGTGGCGCCGACCGCTGGGAACTCTCCAACACGTCTCGCAGGCCGCGCTGACTTGCGGGCATTGCAATGCGAATTGCTGACTCGGGCGGGCGCGGTATCGTAGCATGGTCGGCAACGGCAGACGCAATGATGATGGTAGCGATGCTGGTGGCGACGAAAGCGAAGACGGCGGCAAGGCCAATGGCGGCGCCGAGGCTGGTGACGACGGTGACGATGATGGCGTCCGCGCGTCGGTAATGAATGTTGTGGAACGGTGCCGACATGCGCGCGAGGCCGACGGGCGCGCGCGGCCCGCATTAAACTATTTGACAGGAGTCGTGCCCCTTCCTCCCGCACGCGCGCAAGGGCATTCGACTGATTCTTACATGCGCGCGAGAGAGGCCCCTGGTTGCACGTAATGAACATGGTGAGAACGTGTGGT